TAAAATTTTTTTTTTAAATATTACTTATTTGGCTCGTGATTTTAGTTGCTGCGTTGATTTCTCTATTAGCTTTACTTTCCATAAAGAAAGGTCAAAATAAAAGCTAATTTGCGTAAACAAATTTTCGTTTCTGCTCCACCTTCTTCATGCGGAGTTGACGTCACCCGTTCATGATTATTAATGACGGGGGGAGGACCCCACCTGTTTATGATTATTAATGAGGGGGTCTGGTCGACGTGGAGTGACGTCACGCGCGTTACACACAGACATTCTTGGCTCATTATATTAGTAAATCAAGCGTGGCTTTGCCCCATCTAAGGAATACTGGCAACTCGTCGTTACATTTTTTTTGAACGATTAAAAACTCGATTAAACAGGCGTCGACAGATGTTTAACTATACGAAGCTCGAACTCTGCTCGATCCATGCTCGAACACATTATATCCAGAGGCGGAGTTTGACGTCTATATTTTTGGGGGGGGGGTAGGGGTTCGTTTTGTCACTCAAATTCGGAATCGCGGGTGCATCTGATTCATTATTATTTAATTGCAAACTACTGGAAACAAATGAAACGTATCCATTTTGGGGGGTGGGGGGCATTGCCCCATTGTCCCCCCCCCCGCCCGACCCAAACTCCGCCCATGATTACATCATGTGACAGGGCGCAGCCCCTGCAATAGCTCGCTGGCCGCCACTGCTGACGGAAGGACAAATCTGCGTTCAATGGATTGATAAAGAGCCTTCAGAAAATCAGGCGCCTTGTCCCACGTCCGTTTGAGATGGCTCCGTCAGATCGATCGAGGTTTTTAGGGTTCGTAACCAGTGCCGGATTAAGCTCGTGCGGGGCCTGTAGCATATGTTATAAAGGGGCTCTAAATAAAAAAAACACATAAATATGAAAACTATTTTTTTACTTGCATAGTAAAGTAATTGTATGTATTCATTTGATATACAGCCAGATAATACGACAAATCGCTAACCTTAAACACCCAGTCGTTCATAAAAGTTGAAGGCGGTATAGTACTATAGTAAGAGCAAGTGCAGAATCACTGAACAGGAATTGATAGCCAGAGAGCATTTAGCGCGGGGTCTGTAGCATATGCTACTTTTGCTACTAGGATAATTCGGCACCGTTCGTAACTGAAAACGCATTTACTTTATCTTGCCTATCCGTCTGTGTGACGTTGTTTTGTTTTTCCCTCTTAGTTTTAATGTTGAGGGTTTTGAGGGTTTTTTCCCCACTGGGATTATGTTGTAAAGCGCTGTGTGGGTCTTGTGTCGAATGGCGCTATGTACAAAACTGAGTTTGACTTACTTAGAAGAAGGGGCCGGCCCTCCCACCGGTTAAAGTGCGAGGTTGGTTTGTGAGTGTGATCAGGTGGGAGCCCCAAAGAGATCACCCCCCTCGTGCCGGCCTTCACAGGTGCCCGCTTACAGCGCTTGCCCCAACAGTCTGTCCAGGCTATACGGGGGGTCTTTGTCTTTGCCCCCCAGAGAGCGGGATAGGAGTCTCATTTTGCATCAAAAATGAGAAAAGGAAAACAAATTTAATTCAGCAACAAAAACCATTGTCGGGTGTTAAAACTACAAAAATGTATCCATGTCACCAATCACGTGACATGGATCACAAAGGAAAAATAATTACAGATTTCCTAATCACCGTATAATAATGTGAATATTCAGTCAATTATTATTAAAGTGTTAATCACATGGCTCATGTTGTCATTATACATATAGAGTTAATTAGAGTTGGGACGATTAGTCAATTACGGATACTGCCTTTCTGACACGAGCAAAGGAAAGCGGGCCATGTCAGGCTAGAGGTTAAAATAAAAACCCTCCAGATTTCTGAATAATCTGAAGGGTTTTTATCCTCTGCTCTGGCATGACCCCTATTAAATAGTGTCCAATCTGACACATACCTATTATAATCACCCAGGAATGTCCTAAACGCTCGTTACGTCACTCAACATCGACCAGCCCCCCTCATTAATATTCATGAGCAGGTGACGTCCTCCAAATGGACACCCCTCATTCATAATCATGAGCGGGTGACGTCACTCAATTTGGAGAACTCCCCTCACTAATATCATGAGCAAGTGACGTCACTCTACATCGAACAGCCCCCCTAATTAATAATGAGCAGGTGACGTCACTCCAAATGGACACTCCCCCCCCCGCCATTAATAATTAGCGGATGACGTCACTCCACATGGGGGGCGAGGCGCCTCCTCCCCCCTCCCCAGCGTCAACTTACAACTCTCACTACAAAGGCAGAACCCTCACGTCACGTGATCTCCGTAACGCTGTTGAGACATCGAAGTAAAAAGGACGTCGTGATGAAAAAGAGATTATATATAACCTTTATAAATGAAACAAGTCTGTGTCACCGCGGCCTTACTAATTGCACACTAATGCATGCAATTAATACCACGTCGCGGTCTGCTTTTCGCTTGCAAGTTTCAGATTTACTGCAATACACCCGTCCTTGGACGGGCAAAAGACTCGTTCATGATATTCATCCATCAATATATTAATTATCCGTTGAGAATTGATCGTGTTATATAAGTGGTATATTGCGATAATAAATTAAATGCACTTAACTACAATGTGATAATGAAACGAACAGCCACATGTACCGCCCGTTTCGTCAATCCACTGCTGGATGAGGTCAATCAGGGAATGCGATGCCGACCACGTGCATTTGATCTGGAGCCGGTGGAGAGATCGGAGCATTGGAACCACGTGGTCTTGTTTAGATGTGCGAACGGGAACTCTGGCAGCGGAGTATTCGTGATGGTGAATGCGGGGAGGAGAGGCGATGTGGAGGGGCCACGGAAGAGATTGTTGTTCCGCGAGTTGAGTTGGGATGATGATGATGATGAATTCCTGCAGGGTCTCAGCGGTAGTTGGGGTGAGGAAACGGTGGATGCGGGCGGGAGATGTTGCGCAGATGGCGGTGTGAGGTCCTGTACAGTTGAGAGACGTGGGATGATGATGAGAGCTCTGGATCGATGACAACTGCAGGGTTTGCCTTACTCTTTGCCAGCGCGATATTAGAATGCAGAAGATGCGCACTGCTACTCGAGTTGTTCACAGTGCAGACTTTTAGTTTGTCGACGAGGAGTACTTTATTGCACTCATATTTTTGGTGTTGGAACACATTCCTGCGGAGGGAGCTGGTAGGAACGTTGGGTTGCTCGGTCAATGGCCAGGGTCAACGGCGGCGTGGTGTATTCCGTAAATATGGCCGACTGTGAGGGCAGGCACAAGCCGGCGTGAGTAGGTTAAACGTTGAGTTTTATAAGGGCACCACGGGGTGACCAGCCCCTCCCCACCCAGCCCCACCCCTCCCAGCCCCACCCAGCCCCTCCCCACCCACCACACAAGCGCTGTACGTTTTCTTTCTTTCCGTTGGTACTTTAGGACTTGTTTTATATTTGTGTGAGGTGTGACATCCAAGTCATAAATGACGTTGTAATACTTACTAAATATTAACACGTAGGCTTTCGCGACCAATATTATCCATAATAAAAATGTGTCGTTCACTCACCACCAACCGACACAACCAATTAGTCAGGTTTGTCACGTAAAGAAAAATAAAAGTGCCAATTAGTTACTACTTCAGCACACCGATGTTGTTCGTGGGTGGGTTTACGACACATTTACATTTACGCGACCTAACCCCCCCCCCAAAAAAAATCCCTTTATTATACACACTGACGATTACCGTAGCTGTAATACACAATACTAAAAACCGTACCGCATTATAAAACGAAGTGATGTAATCCACATGCGGCCCCATGCGGTGGTTGTGACGTTGTGTTCCCCTGTAGGCGTGACGATGGGGGGCGACGGTCGGAGGTCGTTAGCCCGCTGGTTTGTAATCAAACAGGTTTGGTTCGTGCTGTGATGTCTGAACGCTGTCGTGCTTGCCACTGTTTTAAGTCGGGGTGAGTTTGTAAAACAAAAACCCACCGCTGGCAGCTGTTGCCGACAAGATTAGAAAGACAATGAAGTATTGCGCCCAAATTTAGCCAAGTCACACTACTCTACAGAACACGCCCGCCAGTTCGTGCGGGTTATATGTCATGTCATTTTTCCGTGGCCGACACTGATAAGCGCAAATAATACTGGTAGGAACCCACCTGATGACGGAGACTTGTGTTGCCTCCGAAACGTCGTGATTTATTATTTTATTTTAAATATTACTTGTATTAATTTAAATTTTATTTTTTACCTACGTGACTTTACCGAAAAAACCTAAGAGTATGAATCCTTGCAGTCACGAAAGCTTCAAATCTAGAAGGAACCCACTGGTTCCACCAGCCCACAGGGGATTATTGTGTCCGTCCGTCGTGCAGGGAGGGGCTGGGTGGGGAAGGGAGGGTGGGGAGGGGCTGGGTGGGGAGGGGCTGGTCCCCCCGTGGTGCCCTTATAAAACTCAACGTTTAACCTACTCATGCCGGCTTGTGCCCATCCTCACAGTCGGGCATATTTGCGGAACACACCAGGCCGCCGTTGACCCTGGCCATTGACCGAGCAACCCAACGTTCCTACCAGCTCCCTCCGCAGGAATGTGTTGTTTCGTGTTAACATTGCGCCATTTATGCAACGGTATCACACAACGCTGTGCAATCCACAAACACGGAGGAGCAAAAATGTTGCACGAGTGCTCTGAGCATGAAAGCAGTAAACTATTGTGCAATTTCCAATGGAAAATATTAAGCCTATAAGAAAGTCATATAGACTTGTCCTGTGTATGTGCCAGGTAGACTCACCCTTAAATCTGGTGTGGTGTGAGACAAAGGCGGCCAGGCAAGGTGCTGGCCACCCACTCCCTCGTGTGCCGTGCCAACCTCCATAGGTGCTCGCTTACAGCACTTGCCCCAAGTCCGTTAAGGCTATAGGGGGATCTTTTGTCTTGTGATGCCAAACCATTAGCGAAATGGGCTATTTCATGTCAATTAATGTCGATCATTTAATACAACGAGAAAGAAGCTCATTCACCCACCAATTTATTTAAAATTCAAATTTTCCACAAAAGAAATTCTTAAAGCTGCCACTATCCAACTGTCAAAAACACTCCATCGACAGAAAGCTGTACAACACACAACATTCTTAAAATTATCGTTAAGAAACTTCAAGTCCTGCTAGTTTACACTCTAAATCAAGACCCCCACAAACATGAAAAAAATAACAATAACAACAATAATAATAACCACCCCCCCCATCACCCATCAGGTCACAGAAGACGTTCAATCAACGAAACCCCCTAAACACGACGGATGGACGGACAAGGACGCAGTGGGAGGGAGGGGTGGTGCAGAGTGTCTGCACGACGTCTCGGCGGAGTCACGCAGCCAACCAACGGGGGGTGCCGGGAGAGCCTCTGTGCACGCCGAGACGGTGGGCCAAACAAAAAAAAACACAACCAACCACGCTCGACCCCAAATACATCATCTTCTCAAGTCCCCCCCACCCATCCTCCTCCTGCCAGTACGACGCGCAGTCACGAAAACGAAACAAAACCACCGCAGCCGTTTAGCACCTTAGCGCGGCCGTTTTATAGGACGACCCTGTTGGGATTGGGGGGAGGGGAGTCGAAGGAAAAACGTTAAAACCGAAAAGAGACGACGACGACGACGGTGGCGGAGGGCCTCAACGTAATCGCGACACCGACGACATTCGTACGCGCGGCGGCTTCTACGTGGCCTCCTCGACTGGAAGAGCGCTCTCTCCGGAGTCCGCTTGAATACGCTGTCGAGTGACTTTCAGCATCGCTCGCAAGCGAGCCGAGCCGAGCGAGCATTGTGGGCGACTCGCCGACGATAATTTAAGAGACCCGTTTAAGCGACCTCTGCGATCGTGTTCGACTTGCGTGTCGCGCGCGTTCACGATCGTTATTTAGTATTGTTGTACTACTCCCGATTGTTAGTAGTATTGTTGTTACTATGCCGTGAATTTTCCGCTGGTGTAGCAGGGAGAAACCTATCTCCCGTGATTTTGCAATGTTGAAGTATAATCGTTTCAATAGTTGCTGTAAAGCATAAATATTTTTTTTTGCATTTAGACCCTAACTATAACCATATTGTAATTGTATCCATACGTTAACGGTTGGAAATAATGCAAAAATACTGAGTTCTATTTACAGAGTTCGTTGAGGTCACCTTTGTAATATCTAAAAAGCGTGAATTAAGGTCATTTTAGATATCTATTCCAGCGATTGGCTGAGTAACCAATATTGAGGACAGAGAACGGACATCGCCTTCGTACCCCACCTCGATGCAAGTTAAAGGCGGCCACCACTATATTGAACGGAGGTGGCTTTTAGAGATCTATGAAAGTGAACGGGTGTTCCCAACACTGACATCAGCGATGGCAATGACTTCAATAGAACTTTAGACAGGTGAACGAGGGGGTGGGTGGGTCGCTTCAACGGATCTTTAAGATAGTGAACGTAGCCCAACGGAGTCTTGGCAAAACTGAGAAAGTGTGCCGTTTCAGACCTCCTGACGGCGCCCTTTCATCGCGCACGCGAGGGAAATGAGTGCGCTTATGGCTTTTGTGTGAAACACTGTTGCGTCAATGTCGTACAAAAGTGGATATGAATGTTTGCATTGATGAGCCCTCTCTATACCGTGAGACGCTGGGGACGATATCCGCCTTGCGGACAAAATCCCTACGTTCCCAGCTAGCACGTGGAATCGCCCCCTCCTATGTCGATTACAGGCGGCAGCTGTTCGTGACAAAAGACTGCAGTGATCGATTCTCTTTGTAAATGATAAAGTTCACAAAACAAATTCGGCGACTCGATAAAAAATAAACATTGCAAAAGTTGCGGCAGAGGCTTAAGCATAAATGCAGTTTGTAAAACCAAAAATCTTTTGCATTGCATTGAGATTCGTTTTGTTGGATCGTTATCTATTAAAATTAAACAAACATCGGAATTGATTAACGTGCCACACACTCACCCGACCGTGCAATCAATTTAATTTAAAAATAATTATCATCTGCATCAACATTGCTACAGATGGTGTAATACCTGGACACTGCATTTTGAAGACACTATTTCCGGCACTAACTCAGGATAGGTGGCGGGGTCCATTAGAGCCCAAGTCATCAATTAAAATAAATCCAGGAATTAACAGTACAAAACGCACACACAGTGTCCATCGCACTCGTCACACGTCAATGGAGCTGTGCATTAGCGATGGGGAAAGAGGCACCGGTCAAGGCGCCGTGATAGGATAGAGTAATCATCCCAAGACGATGATGAAACAGGGGGCAAATGCATCACGACCCCGGAGTCTTGCCTCGCATCACAAATATCGCCAAATGAAGTCCAGTAGCCAGAGCTGATATTGGTACCATCTGAAGTTGAAAAACTGTCGTCATGAAGAGCCATTGTCTATCCACTGCTAGGAGAAGCCCCCCCCCACGCCTCCCTCCCGACACGCTGACTTGCATTACGGCACGTATGAGCTTGATGCCACGATTAAATCTCACGAATGAACCGAAGTCATCGCTCCATCTCCGTGGTGGTTCATCCTCTCCTGGACGGCACCCAATGGGATTCTTTCAAATTTCTGCACAATCTCTTTCACTGCCAGTTTGATCCAACTCAGTGCCTAATTATTTGAAATGGGTATTGCTATATGCAGTAAACAATCCAAATGACTACGTGCTATGTTGCATTCCAAGCACTGTCGAAAGTTTTTTCTATTTTGTCAATTTAGTGATTTCACATTTAGAGGCAGGACTCAAATGTAACTCAAAGTAGTCAGGCTGCAGACCAGGACATAGTAGTCGAAGAAACTAAATTAATGATACAAAATAATAATGGTCGTCATTCAGAATATAACACAATGGGATTATGTTCCCTTCACATATCCGCTCTCCACATAACCAAATAATTAATATATTATCTAATGATTCATATTGCTTTATAGATAAAATAAGAATGATTTGCTTTATTCAACTTTTCAAGAGCCTTCATTCGTCCGATAATTTTGGCGAACCACGTCACCGTTGCAAATGAAGTCTCTACCCTGGTCTGTTTGAGTTCTCACCTGGTTAAACTAAATGAACTTGATCATCATATTTTGTAACAAAGATTGAAATAATGACGGACTATTAAGTCGGTGAAAAGGCCCTTGGCTGGCTTTCAAACTACCTCGAGAAAAGACAGCAACGTTTCATATTCAAAAAGTCAATCTCCAAGAGTTTCCCGAGGATTAATACGGAGCCTGCTGTTCTCTATTTAAAGAAAAAATGCTGGCTCAAGATACTCCAAACTCCACTTCTACGCTGACAATGATGTTACACATGCCTGCCTCATTGGGAGATGAAATTAATGTATTTATACTGGAGGAATCCGATGAGCTATAAAAATTTCCAGTAGTTTTGACTGGATTCTAATAGACGCCAAAGGGACCTTATCTCCTCAAAACTTCTGCTCAACACAAAACCAAACGCTTATCTTTTCTTAGCCACATGTTCCATATGATACCCAAACGTTTGCCACAATATCTTGAAAAACCATTTGCGGCTCTACAATGGAAAAAGTTAAATCCTGCGAAATATCTGGGGCCATCTGGCTGAACTCACACCTGACATTCAGCACACGTACAAATCCTCACAAAGAAGTTACATATCGAAGTTAGGTTTCTTGTTCAGAAATGTCTTAACTTCACGAACTCCCTAACTTATGACACCCACCTTCATTGCCCATAATTGATGCTGCGTGATCTATACATCTGTTTATAGATCAGACCACATGAGGTCCTGTCTTCCATTCTTTCTGCCCTATCAATGTAACAAGACATGTGACCTCGACTTTAAATCTGGATACCTTCCGACAGGGATACCTAAATGTGTCCAAGTTTTTTTTTTCAAAGCTATCAAGAGATCTGCCATGAATTTTAGTGCGCTTACACCTTGCTACGTATGCTGAAACAAAATGAATCCAGTGCCGAGCTCACAGAATGCTCATTGATCCACAATAATGTAGATGGACATGGACCAACGTGGCCCGGCTTATGCAGTATACGGATAATCCAGATTAAACGATCGTCTATAATGAATGAAAGATTGAATGAAACGGTTTCCAAAATGTTTCTGCCTAATGCGTTAATTTGCACTTGTTTTTTTTCATGACAGTATCATGACATCTGCGAAAAAAAGTGCTTCATAGCTCATCGGATTCCTCCAGTCTAAATACAGATTATGAATGCTGCTAGTATGTAATCATGATATGCTTTAAGCCTTTAAAAGCTATTTACCTTCATTAATCCCTTCATATTGATCTATCATAGGGTGATGTGTTCGGCCTGCCGTTTCTCGACTGTCACCAGCTATTGACCTCGGCCGTTTCAAAAGGGTCACACCTGGGGAGAGAAAAGTCCACGACCACACCACCGGCCATCATCACTTCGAGCGACGTGCTCTGTCCAGGTCCACTCGTCTCAACAGCCACCGGTGTCTCGGATTCACATCTGTGATCCTAATCCATGTGCTACTCGTGCATCTCCCGAGGCTTCTTGGCGCACTTCTAAGTTTTTGCTCCGTTTCTTTCAACAGTGTCCATGTTATTTATCTGGCAATGTGCGATTGCATATTTTTTACCGTCAAGTTCAACTTTCCAAAAGTCTAAATTATGGTCTACCTTGTAATTGATATGAAAATATCACGTAATTAAGTAACTATAGCACTACAGTTTTGCCAATTCAGATGGTACCAACAAGCAAACTATCTGGTCTGCACCCACAAACTATATCCACACAGGGCAAAGACTCACCGGTGGACACATTCGATGTGGTTTAGTGTTTGCGATAGTTGATAGATGAATATGTGCTGGAGTTGCTAGGGTAATGACTTGTGGTTATAAATAAGGATGAGGGTACAATTAGGGGATAGGATGTTAGGTTATGAGCTGCGATATAGTTTATGCCAGAAATAAAGTGAGCAGTCAGGAAGCTAGTTAGGACAAAGCGATGACTAATGCTAGTATTGGGGTAAGAGTTAGTAGTGTTCATGTCACATACACATGCAGACTTGGGCAAGAGTATTGACCAGGGTTTAAGATAAAGCTGGGCACTAGGAAAATACAAGACTTATGGCCAAAGCTCACCCCTTAATGTGGCATCACCAGTGCATCACTCGCCATCATAGCACCACTTTCTCATTTATAGCACCGCCTGCCCCGACGCGCATCTCGTCACGGACTCCATCGTTCAAGGAAGCCAAAGAACAGCGCTCATCTATTAAATAATTTGCCAAGTCTGCGTGTGCCAGGCTAACATGAGTTTGAAGCTTCGTTACCCAGAAAAATACTTGATAGTCAATTGCATTATTTGTAGCGTCAATGCAGCAACGTCACTGCAGCACTGACAGCATGTCCAAATCGTGATTTTAAATGTGTATTTCATTATGAAGCTTCAAACTTGTGCCGGACAGGATGGGACACACAGCCTCGGTGTGTATTATTGATGAGATCCGGATGAAAATATTTAATGTTTTGAATTTAAGGAAAAATTCGGATCGCTTTTGCATTTTGTATCATTTACATTTATGTCAAATGTGTACGTCTTTTAGCGCCGACAATAGTGGCATTGCCCAATGACACAAAACGTTCCTTGCGTGGACATTACTTCCTGCGGTGGAATTTTAGCGATGTCACATCTTATAACGTCACATTTCTGTGATGTCAAATTTCTGATGATCCGAAATTTCGTACCAGAGCCAATTTGTTTGGACTTTTCAGATTAATTCGAAATTTGAGAACATCCCTAGCGGGTACCTAGAAGGTAAGAGCTGCTTGTCCTTTGGGTTTTGTGTTACCTCGAAACGTCCCCCCGCTCCGTGGCCGCATACGAACAGTGCAACGAGGTCGGAAATACAGGTTGGAGGGATAGGGTGGGGGCTGATGGAGCCTCATTGCCACATGAATGGAAACTGGAGCCAGATACACACGCGCCAATTACTTAAAAATGGATTTAAAACACGTAGCAACAATGCCCTCTACTTGCAGACTACACCCATCTGTGAAACGTAGCACCTTCGTGAGAGCCTTGTTGTAATGGCGCGAATAAAAAAAATTGTCCCCATATTACATTGCAACTAAAACCAGAGGGCAGGCCGTTTTACGCCCGAGGTGGATAGAGCTGTGGGGAAAGTATTCGACGCAATCAGAGGTTGAGAGCTAAATGAAATACCACTTGCGGGAGGCCAGCAGTGATTTGTTCTGTTGACCGAAGCCTGCCATATGATTGTGAAATGGTGATCACTGGCTCGGAGCCTTTAATTGAGATGATCGGAGCCTTGGTCTTGTTTGAGGAAAAGACACGGAGCCAGATTGACATCTTACCACAACCACCACCTTAATACATTTACACCATTTCCATGCATGAGTATGTTGTCGCAAAAAAAAAAAACGGCGAATAAATATATCGCCCATCAGTTAATGGAGCCCTATGTCTATGTTGCAGATGTGCAAACGGTCGGTCTAACCATGTTGCACAACTACAAAAAAATACCATCAGAAAAACCTGGCACTCCCGGTGTACCAATTAAAAAACCAAAATGGGGCATTACACGTGGAAGAACTTATGATCACGCAAATGGAAATATTTATTTTCTATCGCATTAAAGGCTCCAGTGTTATGCTCACATGTAATTATTAATACATTGTGACTCATCAGCCCCCAAAAACACCCACCACCACCTTTTTACCAGCGAGTTTCAAATGGGCCAAGCGTTACCCTGTGGCAGTTTAGCCACAGGGAAACCCTCTCGACTTAAAACCACTTTTTTTTGCCTCAGCCAACCGTAACAGCTTGGGATGTCGCGTGTGGGCAGTTGCATAAAATACCCTTTTTCACCCTTAACTTGCACCAATTAAACAGAAACAAGGTGAACATTAGCCAGCCTGACGGCTGACGAGACCCATAATGTCGAAACGGGTCCAGAGATTGTTTGCTTCAAATGTTGGTCGGAGAGTGTTGGTCTGCAAAGCCGATGGGCCGATGGATAAGAACATTTTATTTATGTGTGTGGACGGACAAGAGTTTTGGCTTGTATATACTTTAACCAGTGTGCCACAACAATGCAAAACGAGTGATATACAATGTCACTGAAGGTGTTTTATGCAACTGGCCACTGCCATCGTCGAATACATTTCTCCCTCCCTGCACCATGTAAATTGTAAGGAATTAACAGACGGCATAAGACAAGACATGTTTAGGTCGTACGTTCCGGAACGCTGCTGTTGTGGGTTTTTTTTGCTGTCGAGCGTTGGGCCAGGGGCGGTGGGCTCTGCCCTTCTGGGGCGGGAAGGGGGTTGGTGGGTGGGTGGGGGGCTGCACCACCGCCCCCGCCTGGCGTTGCATAGACGAGTGGCCGAGTGAGGTCCTGAGAGCGAGCGACATTCCCTCATTGCTGGGCTTGGAAGCAGGTGAGTGGGTTGGAGAGGCGTGCGAATGGGGAGACAGGCAGGTAGGTTAGTGGAAGGTGGTGTAAATGGGTGAATGGGCATGTAAGTGGGTTGAGTGGCTGGGAAAGTGAATAGTTTGGTAATAAATTAGATGGGTTGGTGGGTACATGGGTAGGGCGAGTCGCTGCAGTAGACATATAGGTGAGTGATAGGTGGATTAATGTGAGTGTATGAGTATATAGGCAGGGCAATCGGCGAGAGGATGGGTGCACGAATGGATGGTGAGTGGGCAGATAGGCAAGCAGATAAGTGCATGGGCTGGTCTGAATACAAGTGTCTACTCAGGTGCGCGAATACATCGAGTGGCTATGTGAATGTGAAGGTTGCTTCGTGGGGAAGTGTGTAGATTAAAGTGGATATAGAATGAGTAGGTAAGTGGATATTTTAGTGGGTATGAGAGGAAGTAGAGTGGGTAGGGATAAGTGAATGGATGGGGGTGCGGGTAGCCGACTGGCTGGGCAGTTGGGCGTGTGGGTAAGTGTTTGACGGCTGGGCACCAAGTCGCGGCACACAACAGCTCCAAACCGAACGCTCCCAACAACTGAAACACACGCTCGCTCCCCTAGGTGGTGCGGCAGGGGCTCGCCGGGGCCCCCCCCCCCCCCTCTTCAAGTCCCCAGCGAGAAAAGACCTGAGCTCCCTCGCGCCCCTCACGAGGGTCCGCCGCTGTCCCTGAGCCGAGGACCCCGCCGCAATAATTATTTGTTCGTGTGTTCGTTCGCGGGTTAAGAAAAAAAAATACTGTTTTGTGAATTTAATAAAATCGTCCGCTTCTACAAAATTCCATCATCCTTTTTCCGTTGTTGTGTTTGCTTTATACATCATCTTATTATTATTATTAAATAGTGCGCCCGCACAAGCACCGAGATGAGACCGACACGGGCATCATACGTAACGAGACAAAACGACCCAAAAAACCACATGGACACAAATTCAACGTAGAGAAAATAAAAAAAAAGCCAAGACAGCCATTACAAAAAAAAATATCAAACAAAAAAAATCTTAATAAATAAATCCGGTCGGAAATTGAAAATTTCTCGATTAGGTATTTACAAATAAATTGTCCCAACAGATAAATAACACTAACAGGGCAAACAGGGGTCCCTACAATGCAACCCTACTGGCAATTTAGTAACAAGTATGTACACATGGCAAACCTGAATTAATAACCGAGGAGCGAAATCCACCAAACGTCCCCCTACAGGGGTTTTACCTAAATTCAACAATCGGTTTTCCACCTGCACAGCTTAGAATCTGAGCAATGGTCTGTTGTGCTGTAAAACATGCTCTTCTCCGTAACTTCCCACAGTTTATTTCTTCCCCTACGCCATCATTATGATCATCACTGTGTTTATATATAAAAAGGTTTGTTCCGCATTAAGATTAGAATTACAACGTGTATTTACAACCAAAGAGCCACCGTGGTGATTGATTCAGACGTGATTTTTTTGGCTTGTTCAGCCAGCTGCAACAAAAGGAAAATAAAACCCCAATAATTCTGAACATTTCGGGGTCGATGCATTTGCGTACCTCCTCGACATCGCCCAACTCCGCACGCACGTCAGCCTCGGCATTCCGTGTGAAAGCCGCTTGGTAGGGGAGGAACAATTAATGTCCTCGCCAATTCCATGACTTGTCACGATTTAGAATGGAAATTTGATCCAACGGTTGGATGCGTTTGTTGTTTCCTTACAGTGCGGTCAGTCTCATGGCATCTCTGCGTTTGCAAAAGTTTTTTTGCAACTGTGCTGGGAAGCTTCTTCAGGAACTGAATTCAGTTCTTTAAGAAGTTCTCAGCACGCGACGCAAAATGCCAAGACACCATGCCAAACATCGCACGGTACAATCCGAAAACGCATCAGAGAGCTCAGCATCTATACCGACACGCATGATTCCGCTGCGTGTATTGTCACGAGAGCTTAAGAATGCAAAGCGTTTGAGCCACACTTACCATTTTGCAACACAGTGGTGCCCGAAATGGATCGGTTACGGCTCTGTGGCACGCGTTTCAAGTGGAAGCAGTCTTGAATATTTAGTTTTTCTGGTTCATGGTTCTCAAATATCAGTCCCCGCTCCATTGAGAAGACTCCAGAACTCGCTTCCCAGTTTGTAAGGGGGCAAAACCTGCCCTTTAAAACGGGGAAACGTGGAAGAAAAACTAGGGACATATCTCAAGGTGGGTAAGCCCGTTGACGGACGTGCGTGCGGGCAGAGTGACCGGGTTGAGAAGTAACGCAAGCATCACCGCGGTTCTACCCCAGACAAACGTCAACTCTGAGAAACTTCGGTCGACGACTTTCAAAACAAAAACCAAAGCAGCGTCCAACGTGAAAAACGAGTGTTTTAAGACCTGAGCACTTCGTCGAAGATAACGAGGGGAAAAAAAAAATCACCGGTTCCGAGAATGAGTTTCCAACATGGACGTGTCGTGCATTCGTGCGATCCGCATTTTGCGTTTACCTTACTCGTCGCATCGCGTGTTATTTCCCCCCTTTTTCTGACAAACGCGGAATAAAACTGGATGCCACAAACAAAATAAACAAAAACGTGCACACGTGCTGGATTTTAGACGAGACTGCTCCCAACCGTTATCTCGCAGCGGCGCCGGCATAGCCTGGCAGTCACGCCAGATCCGGTTCGAGCGGCGCGGCAAACGTGGGACCCCCTTCCTCACTCCGTGTGAGGTCGAGTTTTGCTTCGCCGTGGACGTGCCTCACAGCGCGCCCACCCCCCACGATCGCGCGAGTGCAAATCGCAGCCCTCCCATGGTGGGATTTTAGTGTAAAATAATGACGAACGGTACTTTTTCTGTGTCAGCTCTCGCGTTAAAAGATTGCTTTTTCTGCTCGTGGTTGTTCACCAGCTTCAAAAAGCACTTTCATGTGCGAGTATCTAAGCTCGGTTCCCTCCTCCTCTCTTGCACACCGGGTAACGCAGTGCATTTATTTTTAACGTGCACATTGAGACGAGCGGGAGCAGAGCGCTCACCTGCCGGAGCTGTACCCCCCCCCCACCCACAACCCCCCACAGCGACCAGGCAGGAGTACCGCAATTGAAATCATCTCTTCTACAATTAGCACCAAAGCCAGAGCAACAATTATTCAGGCAATAGGTTGAGAAGGGATCGGAAGACCCGGTTTAAAACCCGTGATCTCGTCCGATCCAGACAATTCCACAGCACCAAATAGACCCCAGAGACTGAAAACTGCAAGCAGCTCCATAAATTAAATTCAATCCACTTCACTCGAACCGATTCAATTCATCGCGCACACCTCTTCCGTAATTGACGGCACAACTAAAAAAATAATAATTCGAGTTCGTTAAGTACAAAACGGAGAAACAAGACAAAATACACAAACGATGACAAAGAAAACCATTTCTCAAAGTGAGTCACAGCGGTGCGACGTGATCGTAGCAAAGCCCTGAATGTGCAGAAGCGTCCGCGCGAGGTTTGGCGCCCCCCGTCGCTCACAGCAGCATGCGGCCGTTCTTGTGGAGTTTGAGGATTTTCCCCAGACGCTGTTTTGCAGTCGCCATCCCTTTCTTAGGACGTTTCAACCCTGTGGAGATGGACGAAACATCGTCGTCATCGTCATTATCACCATCAATGCGATCATCAGATATGGAGTTGATAACACGACTGGAATGCAATTTGGGAGTAAAAAAAAACATCAATAACATTTCTATTTGTGAAGTGCTACAAATATAAGCCAAATGGAGGACATTGCAGCCAGGAGTGCAACAGGCAAACTCAACGACGTGTGGTGAACAGAACGATGGGAAACAAGACAATACCACCCCCTCCATTATCCTACGCACAACGAGCCAGCCAGACCCTGACCTACCTCACCAGCTCTCCCCCTACCACCTAAGCTGTCTAGCTTACACATATTAGCCAGACCTTACCCTAACTAACTCGCCCAAGCCGTCCCTAACTGTGTCTCTAATTGTAACTAATCAAACAGACCTTGGCAACAGCCCTATCTCCCCTTACCCAACTAGCCTACGAAACACAAAACCCTAGCAAACTAGCCAACCTGTCCCTAACCAGCCTTTGGCATGAACCCTGCCCCGACCCCATAATAGAACTAGCCTCATAAACATTAGCTCTACCATAACCCTAAAAACCGAAGGCAACCTGCCCATATAACCCTAACTCTAACTCCATCCGCCTAAAATCTCGAACGTCATCACTTCCGTCAGCGAGCCCTTTTCACTTCAAGTTCTCCTTCCACCGCCGGCATTCAAAGGAGCACGCAAAGCCTCTTGAGCAAAGCCCTGAAGGTGCACCGGTGCCATCTTGGTCACCCCGATTCCCCACGCGGCGCCAGCACTCACCCCTGTCGGTGGGGCTCTCCAGTCCAGTGAGCAGCGCCGTCCTGCCATCGGCTGCGCCGCCGCTACCGCCTCCTGCCGATGACGAGTCGCTGTCGTCCTCCACGCAGTCTGGTGACCGCTCCCGGTCGGCGCCGCCGGTCCGGCAAACTTGACCCGTCCCGTCCGACGGTGCGCGGTCGGGGTCCCACAGCCGAAGCCTCTTGACGGGCGGTGACAGCGGCAGTTCCTGCGCAGAGGGAGCGGCGACCGTGCCCCGTTGTTATGCTGTGCTCAAAATTGTATTATTCACCTTGTGTGACCCTCCCCCTTCCCCCGCCAGAAAGATTACATTTTAACAGAACTTCTGGAAAACCATCATGTTGTGGAAGAGTTCAGATTTTTTAAGACAAAGGTATGTATAGCCCACTGTACAAACTGATGTCTATTGTACTCTAGACAAACAATTAGCAGTTAAACTTTCAATTAATGTGTGAATGCATTATTCAGTGTTTACATGTTATAGTCTTCACTTTAAACCTCAAATTGGTTTGTTTGGTGCTCTCTCACTGCCAATAACAATCTGCCTGCCCGTTCTCCAACCACTGAACGATCTGTCCCCCCCACCTACTCTGCTCTTCCATCACCAGGCAGTCTTACGCCCCCTTGTGGTAACTCCGGTTCAATGGTACAACACAGGGCAGAGTAGCGTCAAATTTCCGGTACAGGACAGTGGGGTGATGATCACTCGTGGTAGCATTATGGTAGCGTTATGGGAGCTGTTCAGAAATCTGAATTGTTTACAGCCACTGCTGAAGCGGATTTTGGAGTCTAAATATTGTATACAGCCAGTACCTGCACAGATTCCAATGCTGCACCTAACCCAAACCCTTAATGACGAACCTAAAACACTAACCCCTAACTCCTCATTGAAAACCCCAACCCTTCACCCAGAACCCCCCACCCTAATCCATAACCCTGACTGCTAATCCATAACCCCACCCTTCACCAAAAATTACCAACCCTTCACCCAAACCCAAAACCCCCAACTCCGAACCCATAACCCCAACCCGGAGGTATTAGGGGAGTGGCAGGGTGGGGTTAATGCCCCCCTCCCCCCCCCCCATGCTATCATGAGATAGTAGCCAGGCGAGGTGCAGGGGGTGCTGGATCTCTCACCTGGGTGAGGCGGCACTTTGCCTCGGCCGTCCTGAGCCCCGCCTGCAGCGACCAGTCGCGGCGCGGCGCTTCCAGTTCCAGCTCATCTGGTGGTGACAAACGACAACGTTATGTACCGCCAGTGACAACCGCGGAAGAGACCCATTTACGTATCCAGGAAACGCTTCGACTTGGGTCTCGAGGCAATATATTCAATTGGCTCCTGCTGCATTGGGAGGTTTGCATTAGAAAAATGTGAAAATTACTCGTAAATTACCTTAACGGGTAGAAGCACGTAGCTACGTCATCCCCGGACTATTAAACTACTGCGACTATATTTGTCTGTGAAACATGGCACCTACGTGATGGCCTTGCACTGTAAGAACGGTGCACATACCAAATTTATGAATCTCTAGGGATGATTGGTTGACGAACGAGTAGTCTCAGCGTGTGGGAGGAGACCAGAATGCATTGAACGTCCACAAGAAGCTACAAAAATATTTATTTTGTCCTATTTGTGACTCTCTGCATGAGCAACCAATCTCACCTTGATTAGGAGGACTTGCAAGGCAAGATTGAAAAGCCAATATCAATCAGGCTGTTGTGTGTAAACACAGGCAATCTAATTAAGCCTTTTCCCCATTGTAAGCCTATAACTTCGCATATCAATGCCAGAATTATGGATCGCTTGGGGCCATTCTGGGCATTAGGAACGTGACGATTCACCCCTGTGGGATCGAGTCATTTTGACGATTCGGGTCCTACAATGAAAATTTTTTATCTGCCATTGCGGTTCACTTAAAATCTACAACACAGTGCCTTAACCCTTTAAACATAAATCAATTGGAATAATCGCTATGCGAACAGTGACATTCCGAAAGTGCAGAATTCTCAGTCCACCGCTAACCCTCCCCCCCCTCCCGACGGCGAGTGGCAAGATTGGTAGAGGCGAGTGGAAGACGACGTTACCGTCTCTGGCAAGTTTCTCCCGACTGAGGCATTAAAAGCTGACACGCGGCGGCCGCTCCCGGGCAGCCGCCGACGGTCCCCGGCGATGCCCGGCAGCTCCACGGCACGTGCCGCATCTACCAAACGCTGCATCTCTCCCCCGGACATTAAACCGATGATGGCTTTCTTCGGTGCCTTGTACCCTCTGGACGGGCTTGGGAAGAGCGGCACAGCCAAGCGGAATTCAAATGCACATTTGTAGATGATGAAGAAACCCATCGAAACTGTTTGAATGCGTGCAGGCTGGAAACACAAAGAACAACACGCGAAGGTGTGCCGCTCACTAACAGCAGGCAGGCTCGACTCTCATCACGCCTTCCATGCGCACCATGTGACCACATTTATTTCTAGACCAGTGGGTCCCCCCCACCCAAACTATGATCCCTGCAAGCCCATGGGAAATGGAACCGTTGCAGATCATTGGATTTGTTCACGGAAAAAAAACCAATTTTTGTTCGCTCGCTTAAAACGTGAGGATTGACGGTCGCCCGTGGGTCCACGAATGGTGGGGAAGCAGGGGTCTAACGCCATCACCTCACTTTTAAGCTGACGACCTAGAGACAATGGCCACATGACATGCACACAAGGCACGATGGGAGTCGTGCCTTCCTGCCGTCCGCGAGCAGCACACTTGTGCGTGTCGTTGTTCCTAACAGCCCAAGAGGAGCCGAATCGAGGTTATTGCATTTTTAGTTTTTGGACAGCAGCGCATGGTGGCGGCTTCAGAGGAGAGAGTAACGTTCTCAGACACACAAGCAGCGCTGTGCCAGGTGGCTCTCACCGAAGAGTCGCCCTGCAAGGGAAAAACTACAAACACAGACACGTTCAGAGCGCTTGCTTTCAACTTCGAATAACGGAGTACAGCAGTGGTGGCACAGGATTTTGGGTGAGCAATGTGCGGATTCAGAGAGGGCAAAATGGCCGTGAGCTATCGCTACCTCTCGGCATCCACGTGTCTTCCCGCGACAGCGTCTCACTGATCATCAACTTCGGCTCGTCCTCTTCAGAGTCAGAAGAGGAGAACACTTGTGCAGAAAACACAAACGACAAGAGAGGGGAAGGAACAAAGAGATCGTCAGCCGAAAACACGCGTTCATTCATTTCTCATAAGTGTTTTCACTTCGAAGTGCTTCGGTTAGAAACACCAAGGCTGAGTTCTCTAGTTGCCTGGATGGATAAAAAGTTGGCAAAGTTTTGCCCAATCCCGATTATTTGTTATTATTTTACTGTCAGAAACAGCACAAGCCTTTTAAAACCAAATATTGTTGTAAAGAATCTCAATCATTCCTTGTACGATGAGCAAGGCCACGTAACTTTTCTTTGGGCAGGTTTTGCTCCAGTGATCTTTGGGAAACTGGCGTAGGGAACCATGCCCATAGTTTCAACTACTGCTTCGTGCGATGGAGTTGCAAGACCAGCAGCAGAACATCCAGCAGCTCGTGATCATGGCATAAACGTGCGACAAAAGTGAGGATTCTTACTGTAGGCAGATTCCAACGACTGGCTGTGCTTCATCCTCGTTTTCTCCCCCACGTCAAACAGTCCCCTCAGCAGCAGCGGCGGGCTCGGGACCTTCTCTTCCGGCGCCGTGGAGACCGGGGGACGCACGGCCACGCGGCTGTCGTACAGGGTGGAGGGCGGCGGGGCTACACGGCCTAGCGCGCGGCCGTCAAAGCTCCCGGGGGGGCGGCCGGATATCGCCTGTCTTGGCGCGCCGGCTCGCGGCGGTGGTGGGTGGTACGATGGCACGGGTCTGGCGCCAGCGCCGTGGTAAGTAGCCAGCGGGTGCCCTCCTGGCACCGGGAGCGGTGCCCTGCACGAGCCGAGTGGCGGAGGCTGCGCTGTAGCACACCTCTCCGGCGCTGGGTGCCTCTCGATAGCGGCACCGCTGCCACCGTACGGGCCGTAGTACCCTGCCAGCATGCGGTTAGCGTAGGGTGAGATGGTGCTGCTGCTGTCGCCATGGACAACGTGACCATTTGGCGCCCGCGAGACCGCTGGCGCCTCAAAGATCACGGTCCTGGCTGCCGTCACCACCGAGTTCTGCCGTTGAGCCAGGGGCAGGTTGTCGCCAGGACGTGAGGCCAGCCCGCCGTCCGCCGGCAACGGTGCGTACAAGGCGCTGGTGAGGCAGTCCGCCGTTGAGTAGCGCGTGTGGGCGTAGGAGTAGCCGCCTGACTCGGAAGGCAATGGCCCCACTCGCTGCTCGTGGGGAGGGCACCAGGGCGCCGTACGGCTGTCGATGACCGCCGTCTGCGTAACACCCATTGAGGCAGCGCCCTCGGTATCGCGGAAGGGCATCGATTTGGGGTTCACGCGGCTGTTGTAGGAGTCGTCATGCAAGTTCGATCGCGCTGGAAGCCAGGGTGACGCCTGACTTACACGTTGCTGCTGGTGGTGCTGCTGGTGGTGCTGCTGGTGGTGTTGCTGGTGGTGTTGCTGCTGGTGGTGTTGCTGGTGGTGTTGCTGCTGGTGTTGCTGCTGCTGCAGGTGTTGCTGCTGCTGCAGGTGTTGCTGCTGCTGCAGGTGTTGTTGCTGCTGCTGGTGTTGTTGCTGCTGCTGGTGTTGTTGCTGCTGCTGGTGTTGTTGCTGCTGCTGGTGTTGTTGCTGCTGCTGGTGTTGTTGCTGCTGCTGGTGATGTTGCTGCTGCTGGTGATGTTGCTGCTGGCGATGCTGCTGCTGGCTATTATGCTGCTGCTGGTGATGCTGGTGATTCTGCTGCTGCTGGTGATGCTGCTGCTGCAATGCAACATTCTCCCAGCTGGGGGGCGGTCGCGCTATCACGCTCGTCCCCACGGAAAGAGACGGCACGGGCGGTGGCGACGAGGCCACCTGGCGCCCTGGAGTCGGCGGCGGCGATACTTCCTGCCCACCGGGGGTCGGGGGTCGCGAAGTCTCCTGGGCGCCGGGGGTCGGCGGTCGCGAGGATGCGTGTTCCCCTGGCGACCCCGGCGGCGAGCGCACGTGTCCCGCCGGCGTCGAGGGCCGAGACGACGCATGGCCGCCCGGCGTCAGCGGCGGGGAGATGGCGCGCAGGGTAAGCGGCGGGGGCGGCGACGTGGCTCGGTGGATCTCCGGTCGCGAGGATGCACCGAGAAACGGCGGCGCCGCAGGGCCTCCGTGCCTCCGGGACGGCGAGGTGACGTGGGCGCCGGCGGGAACAGACTGTGCACTGGCGTGCGAGGAGCGGCCCGCGGGTGGTAGGGATATCGGGAGGCGGCCGGGGGCGAGAGGCGGCGGGGACAATGGGCCGTGCGGCGCCGTGTGCGTGGCCGCCTGTCCAATGGGGCCCATGGGCATGTTGACCATGGCGAGCATGCCCTGGATTGCATCGACGTTGGGAGAGGTAGGTGTGGCCCTGTCCGGAGGAGGTCAAACAAAAACACGTGTTAACGTGACAATACGCATGACTATACGTGCGACCCTGCATCGATTCAAATGTATAAACAAACAGTAGAAGATAAATAACATCGTGCACGCGAGAAGAATAATTATCCGTACGGCGCTTTGTCGATCCATTGCTGGACGAAGATCCTCTCGACGCCATGTCAATCATACGGTTGTTTGACCATACTTCACTACGATGCTCAGGTTGGGCTGAATATCACTCGCCATCGATGTTGGAAATCGAACAAAAGTTTGTGGGTTCACAGCGCAGTGAGCTAATTCTCATTACCGTACGCTCGTTGACCTAGCAAACCCTCACCGAGTCTCATGGCTACTGTCAAGTGCTCTGAGGCGGCGATGATTGCTATGTATATTCCAATTGAGTAATGCTCATCACTAGATCAGTACACCCACCCTGGAGATATGCGCACAACTCTTGATTTAAAAAAAAAAATACATAGCACTCTGTGCTAAACCCTACTGCGCCACGGTCTAGCCCACTTAGTATTATTGCCCCCCTAACTCTGAATATTATTGCCCCGCTGGGCTTACCTGATCACGCTGCAGACGGCGCCCGTCTGCTCGCTGGGCCTCCTCTCCGCCCTGCGAGCCGGCCCCTGCTGTCCGCCAACCTGTTGACAAACCGCCCTTAGCTGCTCCAGCAGGCTGTCACCGCCACCGCCAAATGCAGAATTCCCAGGTTCGGCGCCCGGCATCCATTTCGCGAGGTGCTCCTCGCCGGAGCGCTGTCGGGAGCGAGCAGTTGCCGCATCCGGTAGGCAAGCATTAGCCGTGTGCTGCTGGTTTGGTTGCTGATGCTGGAATGGCTGCTGCTGGTGTAAAAGCTGCTGCTGCTGCGGCTGCTGCTGAAGCTGCGGCTGGTGAAATCGCTGCTGCGGCTTGTCCATAACCTGTGTCTCCAGCCACGACTGGCCAGGCCAGAGCTCCTGGACGTGCCGCTTGTTGACCGCGCTGACGCCATCGCTCACTGCCGAATGGCCCTTGTCCGCTGGCTTCTGTTCTGTCCTGATGTCGAGCCACAAGGCCGGACGTGCAGGATGTTGCCGGGGCTGCTGCTGCTGCTGCTGATGATGCTGCTGTTGCTGTCTTGGGTGTTTGGGTTGCTGCTGCTCTTGAAGATGTTTGTGTTGCTGATGAAGCTGTTGCTGTTGGGGATGTTTGTGCTGCTGCTGCTGCTGCTCTTGAGGGTGTTTGTATTGTTGCTGCTGCTGTTGCTGCTGAGCGTGATGTAGTTGCTGCTGCTGTTCAGGCTGTTGCTGCTGTTGAGGGCGTTTGTGCTGCTGATGCTGCGGTCCCTGCTGCTGTGGCTGCCTCGCATCAATCTTAACCCCATTCTCAGACGACTTTTGCTTCAACACATTCAACCCATTCTTTTGCACCTCTCCCCTGTCCCCACCACCCTTAATCCTGGGTTCTCCTGCCCCCTGCTGTGCCTGCTGCGCCTGCTCCTTCAAGGGTGGAACCTTCTGCATGTTCTCCGTGCTGCCCGTCTTCGGTTCAGCCCGTCGTCCCTCGGTAGGGCCGGACTGGCTCTGGTGAAGCCGCTTCTCTCCCGCCCGGCACTGCCCGCTGTCCGTTTTGACGTGCGTCGCCACTGCGGCTGCTGCCACCGTTTCTTTCAGCTGCTGCCTGGGGGCATTGGGATCTTTCCTGAGGTCCTTGCTGGGGGACTCCTGGCCCGCCTTGCCCTCCGCAAAGAGCTGCTGCCGGTGCTCCTTGCCATGCGATAGCTCGCCAACACTGGAGGGCACCATCACCCGCTGTTCGTTGTGCTTGGCCTTCTCTTCCACGTGTACTAAGCCTTGGGACCTTGCTTCGCCATCCACCTTCTGCCTGCTGTTGCTGCTGCTACTGCTCGACTCCTTCACCTTCGGGTTGTTACAGTCACCGCTGTTGCCACCTTCCTTCTTTGGCTGGACGTGGCCTCTCGACGGGCAGTCCTCTCGCTCCGACTCGGGCCTCGTCACATGCTCCTTGATCTTCAGCTTCACCCGGACTCCCTCGCCGCAGGCATCCCTATCGGCGGTCTTGCATCGCTCCTTCTCTCCACGCGGCCCTGCGTCTTTCTCCCGTGAACCACCACCACTGCCGCCACCGGCCTTGACCTCTGCGACGCGCGGGCACTCCTTGATGACGGGCTCCGCACCCTCCGACCTGTCGCGCCTCTCGATCTTGATGCGCAGCGGTCCCTGCTGGGGCGGCTCCCGGCCACGCTGGTCCCCGCTGCCGCTACGCCGCCCGCAGCCCTCCTTCTTGATGGAGAAGATCGGCCGCGAGCACTCCTTGCCCTTCGACTTCTCCGCCGCCTCGATCTTGATGCGGAAGGAGCCCTGCGGGAACTCCTGCACGCGCGCCTTCACTTCGCCCCGTGGCTTGGCCAGCGCCGGCGCGGCCGCCGCCTCCTTGGTGTCGGGCGACGCCTCCCTCTCCTTCTTGACAACGACCACGCAGAGTCGCCCTTTGACACGCTCGTCCCGGCTGCCGTCAGGATCCTGCGGCGGGGGAAAGGGAGCCAATCAGTTTGCGTGCCAAACCTTGACGGCGAAAGAAAAGGCCGCACTGTGCGAGGGCTGAGCACGGTCTGCTGGCGGTGAGGCAGCCTGGGCCGTGGTGTTTGTGATGAGCAGACGCACGAGTGTCCGTTTTACAACCGAGATGAGAAATAAGAAGCTACTGTCTTTGCGGTTGTGCCGTATAGCTGCGATGTATTTTCCGGTTATAATGCGCGCTGTACATATGAACAATGCGTGGTATAATCCGGAAACAAATCAGCGAGTTCAAGTACAAATTAGAATATCCGAGCTACATGGGAGTTTACATTCCAGAGTATTTGGATAATTGACCGCTAGCGATTCTAGTGCCCCCAGCAGGCCACTCTAGGAACGGCGCTCAATGCGATTTTCCAACGTTGTTTATGTTTGACTTTCTTGTTTTCAACACTCAACCATTACATAGCATTCGGGTCCAGCAGTCAAATTGGTCTTGTGAACCGACATTCCAGCAAGTCTCATCAGGAGTGTGTGATCCGCATGGTGCAACTTGCAAATGAGAATTATAAACTGGTCCACAGTTTGGGGGCTTAAAGAAAATACTGCCCAAAAAAAATGCCCATGATATCCATTGACAGATGTAAAAACATCCACCAAGACATCACAAATCACATTGTGTATAATTCTGGTATTCGTTGATACTGTGGTATTAAAGGACTGAGTGATAGAGGGAAAATGGGGAGATCAACATCCAGCAGCGGATAGACAATGGCATATGACGAACAATGGGTTTCAACCTCGCGCGTTTCACCCCATCAAGCATAGAGTTGAGAGCCTCAGTCCAGTCACAGAATAGGAAAAAAGGCAACACATAAAATATTATTTTCACTTAATTGGCATATATCTTGCTCTAAAGACGCCTAAACTTTGGTTTGTCATGTGACAAGACAAGCGAGAGGGTGCAGAGCCTAGTGTAGGCGAGAAGGACATGAAAGGTTCACAGAAGAAGATCTGCAATATCTAATTTCAAAGGTCATTATATAACCAGGAGCATTGTAAACGTCTTTGTCTCATGGCAGACTTCTTATACCCGTGACATAACATCAATAAGCCCAAATAGAATATAATTGGTGGAAACAAAGACTTTTCTGGAAAGAATTAGGTCAGCGCATACCTCACTTCTAAGCTTATGATTAGAAATGGTATCACAATGACTCTCGACACATTTCCCCAACTGTCGTCACGTGCATTAAAATCAAGACAAAGGAACCATCCTCTCCCTGTGTGTGTGGGTGGAGGGGGAGGGGATGCGGTGTTGGGAGTGCTTGGCTGGGCAGCGCTAACCCGGGAGGGTGCGCCGGAGGAGGTGGGGTGGCGTGGCGAGGCAGCGGGGCTGGGCGCGCGAGGTCCGTCACTTCCTTCCGTCTTCACGGCCGCCCCCAGAGCAGCTGTGGGGCAGATGGGAGCGCACGTCAGCGACCGCGATGCTCACAACGTGCCAACGCGCACGTGCGCGGTTTTGGGAGCAACCAACTGGGCCGTGCCCAGCTGGGCGCACACATACACACACGCACGGGCACGCCCACACACACACACACAGGGACGCACTCGCCGACGGCCAAACACACCCCCACACACGCGTGCGCTCACGTCTGCTCACGCTCAAAAAGATAAAGCTCCCCCGCGTACATTTTAATAATGTTGGGGCAAGTGCTGTTGGTGATCAACAAGAGCGGTGTGGTTTGCACTATAAGGGTGGTGGGGGTGGTGTGGGTGGTGTGGCTAGAACACGACCTTTGCCTCCACAATGATCGATATTTACACACCGCAACAGTGATTGATATCTACAAACCACAGCAATCTAGGGGAGGCCCAGGACCCGTTCAGAAATTAGTCACTGTTGTTGACCGAGTGGGAATCCCACTCAGGTTAGATGGATCGTAGCACAGAAACACGCGTACACACATGCACACACTTATGGCCAAACACAGCACTGCTTCCTCCTGCTTCTGAGCAGGACACAATCTACAAAAACAAAAATGAACACATCGATACAGCTTGAGCGTTCCTTAACTTGATCAAGTGTGGTTATGATGAATTGTGAAATTTTTACCAAAGTTAAAATAAAAACCCACTGATATTTGTATATAACAGGGTGTTAATGTCACAGCCCAAATTTAGCATTTATGAAACATTCTCAAGTTTTACAAATTTGGAAACTGTACTTAACCATTCTTCCTAAAATAGCCTTACCACAGGTTGCCGAAGGAAAACCCAAGCATCTGGAAAATCCTGTTTAGACTAAAATAAGAACACTGCAAACGAGAACTAGATCAGCAAACAACTTCCTGCAAAGGGAGGGAATGCATGTCCACCGAAAGGAGATGGAATGAGGCCTTCATCAAGCAGTTGATTGATCATAACCAATTGACAATGATACTCTGATTGATGATGACGATGATGATGTGTGCGCACGAGCATGAGAGATGGCGGCAGTTTGGGGGGGGTTGGGGGCTTGAACCAGCAATGGACTGACCACGGTCGATGACGAATCATGTGCGTGACGCGAGACCACACGTACCGCGCTCGGCGGGCTCCGTGTCGCTCCTCTTGGCTCTGTGCGCCGGCGACGCGCCAACGCCGGCTCGCGTGGTGGCGCCCTCGTCCGAGTCGTACGTGTACGCGTCCCTGCCGCCTGCACCGCCACCCGCCGGCGGAGTGGAGCCCGGTGCCGACATGCGCGTCTTGTCCGGGACGCACTTGCGCTTACATGGCAAACGCCCTTCGCAGCCACTGTCGGTACGGCGAGGCGGGGGGGAAAGGCGAACGTCGATTGGTGCGCAATTGAGATTCACGCAAATCATTCAGCGACACTGACCACTTCTGACAAATCAACAGTGGAAGCGTCACTTCCTAACTCCCACGAGATTTCCGGTTTGATCTAAGCTTAATTTATGCTTGCCCAACAAGTGCCTTTGATTTTGCTGGAGAAACAAACGAAGTCCACCTGGTTAACCACAGGCACCATCGAATGGCTTTCCGAACTCAACACAAAGTTGTAAACCTGCTCTGTTGTCTTTCATGCTTTCCATGGAAAAGTAGGTGATGATAATCCATCAAATCACCACGTAGGAGGTGATAAGTCGGCGCTCACCTGTTCGCATTGCCGTTGGCCAGCACGAAGGAGAGACGAGCTTCCGGCGTGCGGAGTTCTGGCTCAATCATGGCCAGCTCGCCGGGACGACTCCACACGACGCGGAGCAGCGAGCTCGGCACGTCGTCCTGTTGCCGTTGCCGCCGGTGCAGGGTTGGGAGTGGGGAGGGATGTAGAAGGGGGTGGCACAGGAGGAGGGGGGGGGTCAGCTGAGTTTTTAAATTCATTTGATAAAATATTTTTTAAAACCAACTTTTTTCAATCGGCAGCAATTTTAAAGCACCAGGCATCTGGCCTCCAAAACTCACTGCAGTCCACGCCCAGTGTGGCACAGAGACAATCAGCGGTGATGTCATTAAGCCCATTAGATCTTATGCTTAAAACACACGTTTTGTAGCTGGTGTAGCTCATCGGCTAAATCATTCTTTATTCCATACTTAGGCAAATTCATGCAGGCCTCTGAACGTGGTGCCGAGAAGAGTTTGGGGGCAGACTGCACCTCATTTCCCTAGCCCGCTACTCAGGATACCACCTCACTCTTTTCGAGAAGTGAACTGCACTACCTCACTTTCCTAGCCCGCTACCCAGGATACCACCTCACTCTTTTCGAGAAGTGAACTGCACTACCTCACTTTCCTAGCCCGCTACCCAGGATGCCTCACTCTTTTCGAGAAGTGAAATGCAGGTGGAGGTTACTTCATTCAGACAGGCGCCTAGGGTTAAGGCACTTCAGTCCAGTGTCTTTCCAAGGAAAAGGTTGGCAAGCAAAATAACGAGCCATTTTTTTTTTTATTCGGTAAAAAAAAACCTCAATATTTCAAGAGCCGCAATGCACGTGAACAACGTCAGGAAGCGGTAAAGAAAGAGCCGCATGCGGCTCCGGAACCGCAGGTTGCTTGACCCCTGGTCCAATGTCTCACCTTCTCCTTCTTGGGTATGACCATCTTCCTGAGCGTCTCCTTGGTGTGCAGCTCCAAGATGTCGAGGTTGGGGATCACCTTCACCTTCTCCTTCGTCGTCTTCTTTTTCGCCTTCCTCCGGCCGCCGGCGCCGCAGCGCTCGCGCTCCCTCTCGCGCCGATTCCCGGCGGCGGTCCTGCTGAGCACCGCCCTCCGCCCTTCGCCCGTGCTCGTTAACTGGCGACATGGCTTCCGGGGCACCTTCACCTGTTGGCGCAACCGCAACAGGCAGCGCGTGCGAGCCGTTAGCGCCATGGTTGCCATTTAACATTTGAAGGGTTTAAACAATATATGCAGAATTCCGTTGTGTGTGCCCACCGAGAAATGATGTATATATTAGTCCATGAGCCTATTGGATTTCCAGGCCAATATTATCCAGCAACATGGTTCAGAAAGTAGGGGTTTGGTCAAAGCAGGTAGACTGTACGTGGTACAGCCGTTTAGTCAATCCACTTGTGGATGAGGACCTCTTCCCCACGCCATGCAGGTCGTTTGTTGGGGTTATTTGACCCCATTTCACCACCACGCTGGTCAGTGCGGGCTCATAAAAGTGGAGCGCACAGATGTAGCCCTGCTCCATCCAGTACAACATCGCCCCGCAGCAACCTGTAACAACCTGCATTATGCTGGCTGGTTTAGTATACATTCGGGCAATGGTCTATATTCATACCTCACCCATGAAGAAGGACTGCACCAAAAACGTTATCCGCTAATTGCATTTATTATCCCGTTAGGGCCTTGTGTTACTGGCCAACGTGTTGAGCTTTTGTCATTTACGAAACAAAATAAAACAGCACCAATTTATTTTCCCGGTAAATACCGCGTCTCTGTGCACAAGCGAGCTAACGGGCGGACGGACGGACGGACCCACCTCCCCCAGCTGCAGCTCTTTGCCGAGCTCCTTGATGAGCTGTCCCGGCCGCAGGTTGTCCGGGATCTCGCGCTCGTGCTGCTCCACGTTCTGCCGGCGCACGCCAACAACGCGTAATGTCACTCGTGCACCGCTCTGCTACGTCCCGTGGGCATGTAACGATCAAGTCCTCCTCCTCCTAACGTGATCAAGTTATTTACACCACTGGAACCTCATTTGCCAGTAAAAAAATATGATAATTGGTTTTTTACCCTTCTATCTGGCAACAAAACTGACACCTTTTTTGAGTTGTGCGCCTTTTGGCGTCATCTGGTCCAACCCATGTGAGACTAGGCTCTAAGGAAAGCTGTCTCGGGTGTGGACCAATCAACTTCAAGGACAGTGCATACATTATCAAAGTTATGTTTTTTGTTTGCATTATGACTGCAGGTATTGTGGTGTATGCAAACATGACTGCTTGTAAAAAAGGTGTCAGTTTTTTTGCCAGATAGAAGAGTAAAAAAACAATTATCATGATCAAGTTAATCCATCGTTAAGTCTTGGAATCGCAGTTGGATTTCGGAATTGGTCGCCTACTCTATGGGGCTCATATAAACAGTCGTATTTGTAGCGTAGCGTTTTTTTCTGTCTCATTTGTAAAGTCCATACTGTTAGACCCATATGTAATGTATTGTTTGTACTGTCCGTACGGTCCCATTTGTAGTCTCATCTCTACGGACTCATTCTTACTGTTTGAACGGCGTCATATGTTGAGTCTCCCCCCTCTACCCTTTTGTTTGGATCATGTGTACCCTTTTGTCTGTGCAATATCATTCACTATTTGTTACTTGTACTGTCTGTATGGTCTCACTTTATGGACTCATTTGTACCGTCTTGTCTGCAAGAATTTTACTACCCGTCTGTAGTCACATCTGTCCTGTCATATTGATAGTTCATACTATATAGCCTGTATAGCGTGACAACAAACACAGGACGTCTCATCCATGCTGTCTGCCTTCTTTGTTCCCGTATATTTCACTGCGACCAATACCGGCTAAAGTAATAACCGAATTAACAAAAAACTTGCACGAATCAAATGTTCCCTATCATTACACTGCCAACGCAATGGTTGGGTACTGACGGTAACCACCTGATCGTTACATGCCCACTCGTTATATGCGTCCGGTGCCCATTCTCCCCCTCCCTCCCCCCCGTATGCTTTATATCTTCCCCAATGCGGGTCAAGGTCCACCCAAGTGGTTTCCAGCTCGAATGACCGTTGGGTGCCGCTCGGTTCCAGTTCGTGGCCCCGAACCGGTGGTGGAAATTCCACATTCTTTTGGCGAGGGCGAGCATACCCACAGAACAACCACTGCAAATTTCCCTCCCCCCCCCCCCCCCCCCCCCACCAAGCAAAAGGGTTGCCGAGTTGATCAACTCCAGAAGGATGAAGCGCTGTCAACAACCCCTGAACTTGCGACCTTCCGATCACAAGCCATGCGTTCCAATCAATGCGCCACGGTTTAGATTTCCACTGTGCACGGGCGCTCATACTCGCAGTACACACGGGGGACTAGGGTTTAAATTATTTGCCACAATATGCGTGCAACATTCGCAATGTGACGATTACCACAGTTTGTGTATTTTGCATTAAAGACATTTCTGATGAGCTGTGCTCTAAATTCCAGTACACATGAACACATGAAGCGTCCTTGAAGGGTCTTCAGCCACAGATTACAAGACAGAAGCTTTCTATTAATTGCAGCTTTTAAATCTATCAAGCTTAGAAACTTAAAGCACACAGGGAAATGAATAAACGAATTACGAATATGATGACATCGTATCATCGCCATACCCTCAATTATAATACGCTTTACAAAGCACTAACTTCACAGGTAATAGCTATTAATGTATCATTAAAAAAAAAACCTGTTTGCTATTTCAGAAACATTTTTATCGACAAAAAAACATTTCAAAAGAAAAATGTTCAACGATATTCACTGCATGATATCCATATGATACTCACACTTTCTTCTGTATGACATATCGTAAGTGTCGCTATTTGGCAGCAACCACACACATTTTACACACGGACCGACAAACTCGATTTTCAAAACGCGGAATTCGAGGTGTGAAAGTTTGCGTTCGTTGTGCATTTTGAAATACATACGCTTATCGCAGTTTTTCCTCACATGTTCAGAGATAACATGGCTACGGTAACATTTGAAAGAATATAAAAAATAAGAAATGTTATGCTTGTGCGCCTTAGCTGCAGCCTAAAAGATTGTGAAAATAGAAAAAGGCAGTGTTAGGTAAAGCGCGTTGAGGTCAGGTTTGCGGTTCAGATAGGCAGCAGGGGTTGGTGTAAAGGGGAGAAGAAAGCAGAGTTCAGCATTTGCAAAGGGCAAGGTGAGCGTAAGGGACAGTGTAAGCACAGTAGCAGGAGTAGCAGCATGTTACAAGCAGAGCCATCACGGGGTAGAGAGCCACTGATGAAAAGTTGTGTTTGTGGTGCACCTGATATACGTACGCGTTTACTGCAGTGTATCCTCACACGTTCGGTGTTAACACAGGTCCAATAATGCTTAATAACAAACATTGAGTAACAAATTACGTTCGGGGTGATGACATGGTCGAGCGGTCTGTGCATTTGCCGGTCGTTATTAAGAGGTCCGCGGTTCAAGCCCCGTGATTGTCCTGGTTAATACTGCCGGTGTGTTAAACATAAACTATATTCTTTGGTTCTCTCGGTAAAGTCCCGTAGGTAGAAAAAATAATATATCACGACGTTTCGATCGCAACACAAGCGGTCGTCCTCAGGCGGAGAAAATGATCCAGCAGTGGAACTGCTGAACCATGAACTACTACGCACTGTCTGTTTCACTGCGAAAGCTAACGATCCTGTGATGTTATTTGAAAATGAGTAAGCCACACTTGTGCCAGTGTTGTGGTCCAAATTTGTTCAATATCAGAGAACTACTTGCAATTTGCTTAACTTGAAAAACCAACAGCAATGTCACCCCCTAATGGCAGGCTAATACCCACTAAGCAGCACAATGCTGTTGTTCACCTTGTGCAGCATAGGGACCCCGCTGCCACTGAGAGGGGGCAGAGGGGTCCCCCCCATGCCCCCCCCCGTCAACCCCCTAGGTCACCTCGGCTAAATTACACCTAAGAATTGAAATGGTTGAGAAGAGATGTGATGTATGGCGCTTTGAGTTGCTGAGGCAATTAAGCAAGCACCCTAAACATGCAAATTCTTACCCTAACTTTGGCACAGATATATAAGGGTGGGGAAAGTGAAGGAAGTGGAGTAGAGAGCGAGGTTAAGTCTCAGCCCAATGCCATTCGGCTCGGGAGGAGCTGTCATGAGCCAAGGACCGGGACAAAACTCCGAACTAGCCCCATCGCTGGGAGCCGAACGGGGCGGGTGCCGCGAGGCTCACCTCCTTCTGAGTCCACGCGCGGAAGGCGTGGAGCAGGGAGCGAGCCCCCTGCATGACGTGGGTTCGCGGGCAGTCGCCGTCTTCGCGCATCTCTGCACGCACACACACACAAATACAAAGATCCCCCGTATAGCATTAACCGACTGTTGGGACAGGACACGCTCGGCCGCCTTTGTCTCCCCAGTGGTGATGTTTACACACCGCACCAGATACTGATTTGAGATCGAGTTCAGATAATCATCTGAACTGTGTCAACTCCGGTTGCTAGATTCGCAGTGCAGCACGTTAACCGCTACACTACCCCTGCACGTACACAAATCCACACACATGTATAAACGGCCAGGCAAGCAATGGTCACAACACTGGCACTCGCGATTCGGAATGGCGCATCGTTCTTCCTCCCCCATTATGGGTTCTGTTCTGACCTAAACCGATCAGGATGGTGGGGAAATGTCAGACTTAGCCCAAAATAGGTTTTTGTAGCCAATGTTACAATTCAGAATAGATTTTTGGGATAGGCCACGTTGTAACGATCTGGCCAAAACGCAACCCTCCTACATGCGACAAAACAAATAAAATGTGCTCGTACGAGCATTTAACGACGCGCCAATTATTATCATCTTGTCTGACCGGTAAGTTGAAGAACAAACCTCACAACCAAATTGAGCATCTTGTTAAATTGGGTTGTGAGAACAGTTCTGGAATATCTTGACCGATTCCGACCTGCTCGGTGTATTGGGAACCGTCTCGCTAGATAAAGGCTGGGGTGGAGTGGAGGAGGGGGGAGGCAAACATGCTCCATTGCACTCTCGGTACCTTTCAGCATCTCCAGGAGGCTCTTGCCGGCATACCAGCACATCGACTCGAAGTTCGGGAACTTGAACACCTCTGGTGTCTTTAGCCTCGTCTCGATGTCATATGCCCTGCAAACAAAAGAGCACAATACCACACATACTTGAAGTGCAAGTTTTATTTTATATGGAGGGTAAAGGTGGTGCACCCCTCAAATTGCCCACTCATGCCACTGCCAGTGGATGTGAAGTGATGATTGTGCTAGACATTTGAACACTAACGATAAGTATTCTGTGTGTATTCAGTTCCAATATATATGTGGCATGGCATTCTGGGAATTTGGCAAGACCAACCTTGAAGCTTGTATTTTAAATTGTATAATAATGAACCCCCCAATGTAAAAATCCCATTAAATCCCAACACAAGGCCAGGCACACCGCAGCGGGGTTGATTAACTGCAGTGACACGTGAAACGCGGCGATTTCAGCAGGAGACATGCGCTTCCGCGTAGCCCTAACAGACGAGGCTGGAGTGCAATACGCAGGTGACGAGGCGTAATGGCAGGGGGAACAGAAGAAGGGGGGTGTGGGGTGGGGGCCATAGAGTCGGCTCAAAGCACCGCCGCATTGTCCCAACCTGATTTGCATCTCCACATTAAGGCTGTGCAGGAAGTTTCCCCCAAAGGCAATGCAGTCGTATGGCGTGAGCACCGCGTGGATCCAGCCTGTACGCACACACACAAAGACAGACAAAGATCCCCCCGTATAGCTTAGACTGTCGTGGGGGCAAGTGCTGTTAGCACATGATGGGGCTGGCACAGCCAGCCTTGATCCACCCAGTGCTGTGTTTACACACTGCACCGGGTGTCCACTTGTAACCTGTAACCGAGTCGAACGAGGGGAAGACCAAGATTGATTACAACATCCGTCACCTATTTTGGCCACGAACTGGGATTGAACTCAGGTCGCCAGGTTCGTAGCATGGTGCAGCGCCAACCACCACACACTACCACGTGATGAAACCCTGTCGACCAAATTCAGGGATGATAGGTATCATGGGCTAGCGCAGCATGCCCGTCTCAGAGCTTTCTCTGCACTGCGATTCCCGTGCCCACAAAGGATTGCTAATGCCGTGAATAAGAAGAATCCTGCGGGCGCCGGCACCTGCATCTAAGCCCGGCACCTCTACGAGCATTGGGCCTTGGCTAAGAACACTGTACGCGTGACTCCAACTTTAAGAAAGAGAAGACACAGCTCAGAAAACCAACAGCTCTTATCTTCTAGCTACACACCCAGGTAATTTCTCAAGTCTGTCTGACAATTGTCTGGCTTTGGTAATGAAAAAAAAGACAAAGTCACAGTCAAGCAAACCATCAAATTATCTTGTGACAAAACCCGAAAATGTTTAAAATATGTCAAAGAAGTGACATTATTCGAGTAAGGTATAGGCAAAAATAATATCTTGTACAGCCCTTTGAAAACAGACTGGTGAATGTAGGCCGCCTCATATCATTCAATCGCGGGGGTTCCATGACCATACTTTACCACGTTCGTCAGTGTGAGTTGCCAAAGGAGGTACTCTGTCTGTGCGTGGGAATCAAACTCAGGTGGACGGCTTCATTGCTTACTCATGCCACTACTGGTCGAAGGGCCTCCATTAGCTCTAGAGACCCCTTTAAAGGGGTATTTTGGCCTACTCTTCAATGCTGGCCAGACAGATTCAGAATATTTGTTTATACTGGAGGAATCCCATGAGCTATAAAGTTATTTTCACATATGTTCAGTAGGGGCAGGTCAGAACGTTAAAACAACAAACAATACAAAAACACAAGGAGTGCAAAGTATAGAAATAGGTGGACATACCCACAATTTACCCCAACACGTGCAACTGGCGATCGAGTAACTGTGGTGTAACCATTGATACTGGTGAAGAACAGAGGTGGGGGGTTTAAGAAACTTTGCACATCATTTCAACTCCCAAACGCCAAGGGATCGAGTCGAACCAGAGACCTCTGGATCGCAAGTCCCGTATGTTGTAAGTTACAGCACGCCAGCATATGTGGCTATGGGAATCCCCGACTGAAATTTTCAAGTCTTTTTTTTCTTATCTAATTAATGAAGCTCAAAACTCACGTGTCAGAACCCATGAAACGCGCCATGTTCCGTGGCCCAAGCGAGAATTGCTTTAGTTATAAAGGATAACTGTTCTGTAGTGGACGGCGACATCGCTGAAAAACTGTCGATTTTGACTTTAAGACGGAGCTCGCACATGCAGACCCGCCTGCGGTCACGCAGCTCCATCGCGGCCCTCTCCAAGCCGACAGAAATGTGTCAAGCATACGCTAACCATCACTGTCGCTCACGTATTTATAGCCGAGCTGACAGCTGCTCACTCTAACGGCGCACAAAGTCAGAGTGACTTTCTCAAGCATGTTTGTCACACATGGTATATGTAGTAGAGAAAGAAAAAGCATTTTCAGCAGCCGGCTCTATTCACAGGGCTGCAAATGAGATTAAATAAATTTTTTACAGAGAATTTACAGCATACCTAAACCTCCTTTCCCTGTAAAGCACCTTGCCATTATTTTGTACAGTGATGCAGTTGCATTTAGATGCTATACAAATTCAAATTGTACCTTATTATGTTGCCGTGTTGAATCTCAAGACGGCCGCAATTCTACCTCCATTTAGTTACCGCCCTGCCAAGCCAGCGTTACGCGCTGGTCACATTTCTCCACCGTTTGCTGATAGTGGACAATCACGATGCAATGGCCAATGGGTATTTCAATTGCTTTTATAGCGGGGCAATTTTATGAAAATCAAAAACCGACCCGACTTGCAAACCATCACGTGTCATTTTCTCAATTCAAAACGGGACCTGAATGAGTCCCGCTGCTGCTACAAAATACATGAAGAGACTACGAAACACATCAAGACCTTTTAATTTTGCGGACATGTACTTACGATGTGTGTCCCAAAGGCTGCAAGACAAGGCAAAGCCTTCAATATCACAGTCAGGCTTGCTTTAGTGATATCACTTTATTGACATTGTATTAAAAAGTGAAGTTTCTGCCATGTAAAGCTAGTGGCTGCGGGGCATATGAAATTAGGTTACAGGCCAGGTATGGCCCACTCACAAGAGGTTTTCCCAAACCATGCTTTAGGGGTAAAAGCAAATACAACAGATATATGTTTTGTTTCCACATAGATATGTTTCCACATATAAAATATGTCTTCAGTACATCATCCTATTGGCTTTCCAGACTAATAATATTATCCAGAAGCATTTGTTTAAGCAAACGAACTCTGGACCAGTGACAACCTTCAGGATCTCATATGCATAAATAGGCTTGTTATATACATGCTGCGGTATTACCAGGCCAAAACACTTCACAAAGAATATAGAAACCCATTCAAACCCAAAAGGCAAGAGTACACAAACTCATTGTGCGTTGCTGCGAATGATTATGGGTAACAGTAAACATCATTAGTTCATTTGTTTACTCAGGAAAGCATCACCAAGTCTTAAAATCCTCTTTGAGGAGGCTCCTGTTAGGTTTCACGGTCGGGAGGGACGATTGCCATGTGTTTCTCAATTAATTCAAGACTCATTTTTCAAATTTCGTTCATGTGGACCATATTGCTGGCACACATTGCCTACTAACTTTCAAATAAAAGTTGTGGGACCTTATCCCATCCACTGTGAAGCGAACTGTGTATATTTTATTGGTTAATGCACCCGCAGTCTTAACTAGGATGGCCGTGGGCTCGAACGGTGAACCTTTGCAACAAGAAGGAAGGGGGGGGGGGGGTGGGCAAACGTGCTACTGCCGGATTATGTCACCACCCAACAAAATGCCTACTTTAAGGGATGCGGGCCGATCACGGGCATGGCCAATGCCCCCCACCGCTGCGTTAAAAGGGCAAGGGGCGGCCGTGCGGCAAAGCAGAAGCACCGCAGCAGCCGCACAGCGGACTCTGCTAAACGATCGTGGCGCCGACCGTGAACCGTGAAGCATTGCCACAAAAAACGTCACCGGGTGAAAATTGAATCCACGTGGTCGGTAACACAGCCCCCCCCCCGCCGGGTGGCAATTACCCGTCTGGGACGAGCCCACCGGCGTCGTGACCGGAGAGGGAGCGCCGGGTGCACACCGTGTTGCGACGTAAGGAGCTTCGCGCGGATGCGTGTTTTTTATAACACTTCCCAACAAACTAAGGATTTTGTCTGCATGTCTGTATGTGTGTAGCGTAGGGTTTCAACAATTCTGAAGATGATCCCATACGAACAAATGTTTTTGCGTAAGTTGTGCTGCTATTTGGCACCGGCCAAAATGATCAAAGGGTTACCCCAAATTTTGGCAGTAATACAACTGTGCTAAAAGAAATATCCATAGCTTCAAAGGCAATGTCATTAAATGTGAGGTAACAAGATGATGCTCCACGTCATGAGCACACCTCTCCTCTCAATGATGCCATTCACTTTATCACGTGGTGTGTGCCTTCATCTCGCCGTGCGGCTTGGAACGTTATTCTTGTTATTATTGCTAATTCAACACTTGGGAGGACGAACGCGTGGTGGAAATTATTACAGAATCCACGCATATGGGTTCATTATTCTACCGAGGGAAGAGCCATTTGCATTTACTATCGCTTAAGCAGGGTACAGTTATTGTTGTTGATATTATTTATTACTGTTTACTTTGGATGTATTGTGCTCATATTTCAAAATTGAGCTTTAACACTAGCAAGCAATGGCTTTGTTCTTGAAAACGATGGCCAGCACTTTTTGGGAGGCAAGAATTTGAAGACCAACATCGTTTTTCCAAACTCCCAAACGAGGCTAGGAGGTGGGTGAGTACAGCAAAAGTAGGTTTGTCAACTCATCTGAGGGAACTGCAGAGTTCTAATTCCCTGGCATGCATCGGGTTTTCTCCGGATCCTCCAACCTCTTCCCGCATGGCAAAAAAAAAGAAACTCGAAAAAAAATTACCACCAGGTAAGGTCCACTGAGCTATGTAGCTCTTTTTCAGAAGAGGCCTGGCCACAAATGAAAGCTCAACCAAGTGGCTTTTCACGTGGACATTTATAGCAGCTATATACGTAATCTAAACGCATGTTGTTTCTAAATGTGGAGGGGAAAAAGCGGAGGATCCGGAGAAATCCACACCACCACTGGGGGAGAGAGACGAAAACTCCAATTGTGCGGGCATCGTCAAGGGTTGGAAACGAACCCATGATCACATGTATACCAGGCGAGGTAGTTAACATCTTGACACTGTGGTACCCACAAATACTACTCGTACAAGAATTGTCCAAACTAGACAGCGCGTGACCCTTGGGTAAAAGTGTTGAGACTGTAAGGTTCTCCTGCGCATATAAATGGAATTTGAAATGGCAGAAGGCACACTTATATAACTCCCTGAAGAAATATCCAGGTGGCTACAATAGGATTAAAATGTCTGGCTGTGAAAACCAGATTAAAGTTGGGGAACGGACCGACCGGGGGGGGGGGGGGGGGGGGGGCGCAATTCAGCAGCACAAAAAATTTACGCGCGAGCACTCCACGTGACCCACGCAGGTTGCAGACAGCACTCCGACGCTGTCCCAGCCGACATTGTCCGAAACTGACATGAATCTTTCTAATAATAATGCTGCTTACAGCATCGCTTGTGCCGGTGTTGCTCCCTTTCTCATGGGTTGCAACGCCGGGAATAGAGTCTTG